CTTTGGGCCAATCACATAGCTAGTAAAGTACAGGCAATGTAATGATCACGGCATTCATTTTAAAACTATTTTACAGATTACAATCTCGGATCAATGTCGCTTGTACAGGATCGCTTAAGATTCTTTTCCTTGATATAATTTTATTATTTCGTATTAACCTTTCGCTACCTTTTAGTCGCCCAGGGTTGAAGGGAGGGGGAGGGGGGTGGACAATGTTTTGAATCTTATGACTTTCAGGTGTCCTGATCAGCGGTTGATCGAGTATCATAAGCACAGTGATTCAACTTGCATATCACGTTAAGTTGTCATGGTTACAATTGTAACTTTCCGTAAAATTTATTCGGTCCATTATTTCTAAATTCCAGGCTTCACTCTAGCAGTGTGGTACAATTTATGGAATACGGGATCACGGGTACCATTAGTGGGAATAGTGTCTTCATCCTTGGTCCATGAACAAAGAGGAGAAGGTGAGCGCTTGATAAATCTTTAAGTTGCTTAAATGCTTTCTTGGTAAATGTTAACTTAATCCGCCTCGCAGGCATACTGACTCATTGTCTGGTTCAATCGCTCCTACTCTTCTTTGTAAGTACATAGCACCACCCCCATTCCCGCCCCCAAACTCCACGATAAGGGGAGCCATTCATTCCATTGGCTTAAAATTTCCTTCCTCAGCCTCCTCACACTTTTAGTACTTTTTTATAGGAGTGTATATGACCTTGAAACTGAAATGCTTCTACTGCGACTCCCAAGACTTCGGTGAAGCATGGGAAACTCTTACCCAGGACACTGCATGTCAAGACAGTGTGTTTTCAACTTGTTTTCGGAATCAGACACTCCCGGGAAGGCAAACAACGGAAGTTATTGATCTCATAAGAAGCTGTGAACAGAAATGCAAGTGCTCGGACGAGGAAGGTTGGTGCGTGACTCCGGAATGCAAACGTCAGACGAAATGCTGTTGGGGTCAGGTATACTGTGAAGAAGACCAATACTGAGACAAATGCTCAAGCTTGCTTTAGGCGACCGTTTACGCATTGCGGATCTATTATCACGCGCAATGCTAGCCTATTATTTTTCTCGCTATTTCAAGTTACTTGTAACCGTTGGACGCGGTACAATAATGCAAACTTGTGGAGTACAGCATTTGCCTATTTTCGTTAATTGTCTGAGTTTTCGAAGCTTACACTCAGTCTTCGTTGTACCAGGCTATAGGTATAAGACCGATTAATCAGACGGAGAACTGAAAGGAGACCATTTAAGGCGTCGCTAAACAGTTTTTTGACGCTTGAGAGATAACGCTCTCAAACAGAAAGGAATCCTGAATCGAAGATTACAATGATCATCTTGGGTAGGAGAAAAAAAGTAGCTGTGACGATGTCTAACACTCTTTATTTCTGTGTGAAATCATCAGTTACTGTAACAGCTCCCGAAACACATGATTGTAGAAATTTTTTCTAACAGTATCTTCAATACGTGATCGCGTAAATCTTCGCGTGCGTATTGGTCGAGAGCCATTTTTTGTACAATTTTCAGCAATTAATAAAATAAAAACCTCGCTCCGTGAATAGTTGTTGCTTATATCCTATCATAAAACTGACGCACAGAAGCACTGTAGAAACCAGCTTACGGTAGACTCGTTGTTTGTATGGGTTTTTCAAGCGTGGGGAGGCAAGCGTAAGAACTGCGCAAAAGGCCCACGAGGGTGAGACAAAGTCACCTTTGACGCACTTCCCCTCTCGCGTGTGACTCGCCCTTCACACGCGTCCCGCGCTGACTTAAAAAAACAAGTTTAACAGGAAACCACATCCCAAGCGACTTACTATGAAAATATCATTAGACTACATGGATGGGTGATGAACTCTAGATGAAAATATAAACGATCATATTCGGTTTTTCATTAAAATTTTTCAATACTGGTTGTGAGTTTTGTTACCAGGGAAACGCTATCTAGCTAAAAAAGCGGGTGTGGATCGCCCAAATTGCGGCAATGTTTAATAAGATCTTCATCATGTAAACCCTTAAGCACTCGAGATCAGTGGTGGGTTCATTTACATTTTGAAGTCTGGAACGTATTTGTAAAATTAAAAAAAAAAAAAAGATAACACTTTACGAGAGTAAAACGAAGCCAAAGCAGCTGAGAAATATTGGGAGGTGTGGATTAAGATGGTCTTCCACCCGCATTTTAAAAAATTTTAATACTAACTGGGTCCAATTCATTATAATACCATTGGAAATATTCAAAAGTGTTGCGAATTGCACTAGTAATTGACATTTTGTAACCATGGCAACCAGTTTCCAGGCTCCCAAGGATGAAAAAAGGTACCCATCTGCTAAAAAGAATATTTAAAGAACCAGAGGTCCCATTGACTTATAAATGGTATCAAAATGAACTACAATGATTGTTCTATGCTGTAAACCTCAAAAAGTAAACTATCAAAGTATCTTTCAGAACAATAAAAATTTATTTCTGAGAAGTGCAATATTTTAGCCCTAATCATTCTCAGAAAATTGAAATGAGATTCATTCACTTTCACACAACTGCTTTTGTTCTTGTTCACAACACAGCACAAATACAAGAGAGAATTCACTGAAAATTTCAGGTCAATTGCTCTAAAAGAAGGAAAGATATCCTTTTTGCCGTAATGGCTACTAAAGCAAAATTACAAAAATGAGAAAACTGCGATTAAAGTGTCACCTTCCTTTTCTTGTTGTTTGTCAGTTTTTTTTTCATATTCCCTGCACTTCTTGCAGACTTTGCTTAAGGGTACGACATCCAGAATTTTTCTGGTTTCCAGGCTAATGGCAGTGACACAACCATTTAAAGAGGA